GCTTGGGCTGTACAAGCACGAGAACCTGAGTTCAGGTCCCCAGCGCCCACATAAAAAGGCAGATGTGGCCTGGCACTCACGTAAACCCAGCACTGGAGTGGGGACAAAGATTCCCGGGGAAGGTGGAGCTTGTTGGCCACCATTCTAGCTCCAAGTTCAGTAAGAGAACCTGTCACAAAAAGTAACATGGAGAGTGATCAGGGAAGGGACCTGATGCTGACCTCTGGCCTCCACATACGTGTGCATACATGAACACACACACACACACACACACACAAACACACACACACACACACACACACACACACACACACGTAGAGAACCACTGAGAAGACATGTAATGTTGACCTCTAGCCTCCACAAACACACATACACATTTGCACTCACACACCCCACATGCATCAACACACATAAGTTCATTCACAAATATGTGTGCAAACATAAGGGGTATTTATCTTGATCTTGGTGGTAGTTACACTGATGTCTAAGTCCATTGAACTACGAAGCATCTCTGCATTTCCATACATTATACTTCAATTTCAATTTAATTGGGGGGGGGGGTGAGGACATCAGAGGTCAAACTTGGAGCATCAAGTTAATTGCACACGATACTACTACTGACCTATAGTCCTAAATCCTTAAAATGTCTTTTTCCTTTAAAAACAAACAATGTTATTTATTATTATTGTGTGTATCTTACGTGGCATGCCAGGGTCTCATTGGAGGTTAAAGAACATCTTGGTGGAGTTCTCTCCTAACACCATAGGACCTGGTGATTTAACCGGTTTCCAGGTTTACCTGCTGAGCCCTATCTCAGGCCCCAGATGCTTTTGGTTGTTGTTGTTGTGGGGGGGAGGGGGGTGTTTAAGACAGGGTTTCTTTGTATAGCCTTGGCTGTCCTTTGCTCTGTAGACCAGGCTGACCTCGAACTCAAAGATTCACCTGCCTCTGCCTCCCGAGTGCTGGGATCAAAGGCGTGCACCACCACTGCCCAATCCAAATGCTTTTTTAAAAATCACAGTGTAGAGTTAGGCACAGCAGCTCACACCTGTAATCCCAGTACTCAGAAGCCTAAGGAAGAAGGATTGTTGCAAATTCCAGGCCAGCCTGGGCTACATAGTAAGTTCCAGGTCAAACACCACACACACACACACACACACACACACACACACATACACACACACACACCAAAAGAAAAAGAAAAAAATCCTATCTTCCTGCCTCTCTGACCCCATCCCCCCAGACCAGCCTCAGGTCAGGTTTCCAAAAGAAACTTCTAACCCAAAGTGGTGGGAAGGGAACTCCCCACCCCACCCCCAAGCCCTGCCTATAACTGTCCCTAAGATGCCAGATCTGCATGCTCCAGGGAGGTGGGAACCAGCAAGTTAATGGCCTGGTACCTGCTAAAAAGAGTGTCCAGACTTCACCTGGAGTTTACAGAAAGAGCTTGAGGTTGTTACAGATTCATTGGTACAGAAAATGCCTTGTACCCTGTCCAATGGTAGGCCAGCGAACGGCCACTCTTGATCTCTGGAGCCCAGCCCAGCTCCTTGATCACCATTAGGGCTCTCTCCCAGGCTCCAGGTTTGACTGATTCCTGCTACTGTCCCCAGACCCTATCCAAACCTATTTCTCTCCCAGCTACCCTCCTGATAAAGCCCCATAACGATATGCCTGGAACTCATATCCCTCCACCACCTGGCTCTGGCCAGATCATTTAGAGAGAGGCCAGAGGCCTCTGGGCCTCTCTCTAACTGGGATCCTGTGGGCATGATCTACAAACATGCTTGGCCATTTCATGTCACGGTACCTTTAAGCCCTCTGTGTTCCTGCCTACCAGACCAGCTCACCCTGCTTCTCTGTCCATAGGAAGCATCAACTCTGACATCATCTTCAACTCGACCTCACCAAGCAGACACTGGGTCACACACTCTTAAGTCTCCTTCAAGGAACCCTATGGATGACAGGGGCCAACGCAGCGGCCACTCTAGGTTTCTAGCCCCTCCAAGCCAACATTCTAACCTCAAAGCCAAGGTTTCTTAACCAACTAAATGAGACACATTATGAATGCGCTCTAGGGGCTGGAGAGATGGCTCAGAAGTTAAGAGCGCTGGCTGCTCTTCCAGAGGATCCGGGTTCAATTCCCAGCACCCACATGGCAGCTCACACCCGTCTGTAACTCCAGTTCCAGGAGATCCTACACTCTCACACAGACACACATGCAGGCAAAGCACCAGTGAACATAAAATAAAAATAAATTTTAAAAAATGAGCTCTAGTTCTCACTCAGGGCTTGGAAGTTCCAGGACCATAGGTGCTCCCCACAACACATAGATTCACTTTCTTTATCTGGGGTAAGTTGGCAAACACCAGGAAGCAGACCAAAGCCCCAAAGAGCCTGGCTCTTGCCCATGACCGCTGCTGAAGTAGAGATCAGTCAGCTCGGCCTGGGGTTCCAGGACAGCCCTCTATCCCCACCCAGATCCCTCAATGGCAGTGGCTGGGCAGGATTCCAGGGAGTCCTTGTGATTGACAGCTCTTTCCTGTGTCCAGGAATGTGCTCAGTGAGTCATGGCACCTTATCACTGAGACCTTTGGAAACTTTCAGAGAACTAAACCTTTGACAAGTCGAGGTTAGAAACAGGGTCCCCAGGCTGCCTCTGGGTGGGCTGGGGCGGAGGGCGCAACACTTGCTACAGAGCCCCACATGAAGGTGTAGAGAAGCAAGAAGGGCTGACTATAAGGCACTAAGGCCCCCCCTCCTCAACACCCTCTAGCAGAATACCTTTGTCTCCCATTTTCTCCAGACCCAACTCCACCTTCACGTCCCCAACAAATCAGTAGCCCAAGCTCTGTGAAGCCAAAATGCACAGCTGACCATGACAAGGCTTTTGGAAATCCAACCAAGCAAGACAGGCTCCTAGGCAGCTCTCGGTTGGCCCATCTATGGAACGGGCTCTTCCCCGCGGCCCGAGCCTCCAGATTCTACCAAGCAGATGTGGCCCACGGCAGGGGACAGAGGAGGTGAGACAGTCAGGGAGGCTGATACAACAGAGCGACAGGCAGTACCAGGGTTTCTCCCGAGGGACAAAAGCTTGCTCTGGACTGCGCTATGGCCCTTGCCACATACCACAGTGACCCAAGACCTCGTGACACTGTCTAATCAGGAGCTCTAGAGCCGAGAGCCCGGCTTTACAGCTTACCGCAAGCTTATTCAGCCTCATCTCCCTCAATCCCCTCAAGGACAAGGCGAGGCTGGCCTTAGCGTCCTTGTCGCCTGGACAGCCAAGCCCAAGCTAAGAGAACTACCCAAGGTCACCATTAAGAGGTACACACTCTGTCTGGGGACACGTGCTGGCTCTTGGATCCCTGGTTGACATACCCAATGGGTAGTATGCCCCACCCATTTTACAGGTGAAGAAACTGAGGACAAGAAACATTGCCCAAGGTTAACTGGATGGCTGAGCCAAAGTCTAAGACAGTCTCCAAGAATCTGCCAATACCATCCTATTGTGGGTTCTCGGCTGATGCCTTAGGTCCCCCTCCAGCCACCCACCATCATCTTGCTAAAACACCTCCCCTTCACCCCCCATTCCCCGATGACTCCCTGGTAGAGAGGGAGGCAGGCAGGCGGTTGCTAAGCGCTCACCCGCTCTCTCATAAAAATAAACTCCTTCTGGCTTAGAGACTCTGGGTGAGATCCCCTCCCTACCAGCCAACAAAAAAAATTTTTTTTTAATTTAAAAAAGATCTCCATGACATTTATTTGAAATCCAGCTGTGCCAAATCAGAGGCCAATTTACTGACATCCAAATGGAGCCACGTGCTACCAAACCGCAGTCCAAAGACCCTCTGGGTCAAGAGCCTGGCCACTCTTTGAGATGATTTATTTCCCCAGGCAGGAAACGGGGGCCCAGGCTGTCTCCCAAGCCTTTGGGGCTGGTCCTGGGGGAGGCAGGGCTCTGGCAGAGGCCCGGCAGTGACCAAAATAGCCAGGTCCGTGGCCCTGCCGAGCACACGCCTCCTTTGCGGCCAGGCTAGTCTAGGCTGAGACTTTGGGGCTGTAGGACCTGTTCTTGAGACTAGCTCCTTGTGTGGCTTACCCAGTGGGAGCGGACTAGAACCTCCCACCCAAAAGAGGAACCTACAAAGGGAAGGGGTGAAGTCTCGAGGAAGATGTGTCCAGCTGATCCACTGGCCATTGCCCCTGGCTGTCCTTCCTGGCCTCAGTCCTGCTACTCAAGCCTGGGGGCGGCTGTCACTGCTACCTGCATGCCACACCCAGGCAGCACCTGGAGCCATACCTCCCTCTCACCTCTCCTAAATACTACGGAGAGCTAAAGATGACCATTGGGTCCACTGGGCACAACGGATGGCCTCTCAGGCACAGCTAAAAGACACCAGACTTGTCCATAACCAGGGACCCAGAGATAGCTACATTCAGGGGCACACACGTGCCTACGGCTAGGGTTCCGGAGACAGGAGACACAACCACACGTAGGTTCACACAGACAAGACATATATAGGGACACACAAGAGCGCACATCAGGAGACAGAGCCACACGACCACACTACACGCAGGTATAACAGCCCAGGACGCAGGGAGCATCACACACCCTGAGGCGCACATGTGCACGGCTGCCTGAGGTGGAGAAACAGTCACCCTCAGAAACAGAGACATTCAGGGACAAGGAGACACCCCGTGGGACACACCACACACACACACACACACACACACACACACACACACACACACACACACACACACACACACACACACACCTGCCGCCGCACCAGCAGCCCCAGCCCCTTCGCCAAGGAAACAATAACTCCCCTCGTCAGCGGGGCTGAGCAGGAGACCCTCGGTGCCCCCCCACCCCCCACCCCCGGTGGTGAAAGGGATGGCGAAGCGCGGGGAGGCCAGACCTGCAGGGACTCGGGGAGGTGGCGGAGCGCGGCCCGGGGAGGGGGCTGCAGTCGCGGCCCGCGCGCCCTGGGTACCTGGGTGGCTAAGCCCACGGCGGATGGCCCAGGACTGGAGGGACTGGCGGGGCTGGTGGCGATCGCAGCGTTGGCGGCTGGGCACTGGAGCTCGACTGCAAGCAGGTCCCGGAGCACGACGCTGGCGGCAGCGCGGAGGAAGCGGTAATTTATAAGCGGCTTCTCCCTGACCTCGCGTGTCTGTTGTCTGAACAGGCAGCTCTCCGCATCACCCATCCTGCTGGGTGGAAAAATACCAGCTTGGCCGGGCCTGGGGCGGGGCCTGGGGCGGGGCCTGGACTCTTGGTCACGCCCACACGCGGGACACACAAGCACACACACACACACACACACACACACACACACACACACACGCACGCACGCATGCACGCACGCGCGCACGAGCTCGGACACACAAAGAGCCCGAGCTCGCCTCGTCGAGCGCGCGCACCCATCCTCATGCTCTATCGAAACGCTGGTGGCAAATGGCACTGTTCAGACCCCTCTTGCGGGCGATTGAGGAGCTAGAGACCCAGACCCCTGGCTCATCTCCTGTCCTGATAGCCACTACTACATCACAACGTTCTCTAGTAATTCACCTAGCTCTGGAGATGAGGCCTGGGGCTGCTGCAGCTGCTAGGTCGGTGCCAGAATCTCTTCCTCCTCCCCTACACCTCCTGGCCAGTGTGCAGCTCTGCGAGCCTGGCTGAGCTGCTGTGGAAATGATCACCAGAGCCAAGCCCCCCCGGTCCACATGAAGCTGTGCTTTTGTAACGCTCTTGGCTTCGTCCTGGCTGTGTGACCTCAGGCAAGTTCCTCAGACCTTTCTGTGTCTTGGTTTCCTCATCTGTAAAACGGAAATAAAAATAGTGGAACTCATCACTTTAGGCTGCTGGGAGGACCCAAGGTTAGCAGTGTAAATGGCCTGAACAGGGCACCAGGCACCTAGGAAGTGCCAAACAAGTGTCAGCAAATGTGACTATTTTTAAATGGAGATGGGGAGTGTGCCATTCTTCTTGCCCTTATTTGAATGAGCGGGTCCTCTTTCTGACGGCACACACCCACAACCTGGCTGAGCCTGAGGTGGTGCTGTGTGACCTTCACTAAGGCCTTCCCCTCTCTGAGTGCCCACTTCCTTTTCTTTCCTCGCCACCCTGTCTGCACACAAGCGGCCGTTAGCTAGCACACCTAGCCTTCTGCCTCTTAAACTGAGAATAAAGGCCCCGACCTGGCCAGCCTGAGCCCATTGTCTTAGCCTGGCACAAGACATCAAGAAGCAAAATAACAGAGGGCCACTTCCTCTCTAGCAGGCCTCATCCAGCCCCCCTGCCACTGGGCTCCAGCTTGTCCTCCCTGGAGGTGCCCCCAAGACCACCTCCAGCCAATCTACACAGTGGTCCCTCCTGCCTGTAGTCCAGGAGCACACCCAAAGACCCAGGTAGCTTCTGCTGCTGTTTTTATGAACACACCCCTGTACAGGAGAGAAAACTGAGGCCAGAGGAGAGAGAAGGGACTCCAGACAGTGGGTGGGATGGCACACTCCTATAATCTTAGCACTCGGGAGCATTAGGAGTTCAAGGTGAGCCTGGACTACATACCTAAACTTAAAAAAAAAAAAAATTTAGATGGGCGGTGGTGGCTCACGCCTCTAATCCCAGCACTCAGAAGACAGAAGCAGGTGGATCTCTGAGTTTGAGGCCAGCCTGGTCTACAGAGCCAGTTCCAGGACAGCCAAGGCTACACAGAGAAACCCTGTTTTGAAACCCCATCCCATCCCCTCCAAAAATCCTCCCCCACTTTCCAAGCTCACATGTCACTACCCGCAGTGCAAAGTGCCAAGGCCAAGAGGCAGGTCAGAGGGTAGGGAAGTGGCTGAAGTTTGAACCCAGTGCACACTTGAGGAAGCCCAGGGTCACTGGGCAGGTGGAGGGGCGGGGGAGGGAGGGGGGAGGGAGGGGGTAGAGGAAGCAAGGGCTGCAAGGCTGCAAAGGCCTGCCGGCGTGGTGTCCCGGGACTGTGCAGGCAGTCAGGGCAATGGAGGCCCCAGTGGCACAGCACGTCCAGGGATGAAATTTGGAAAGTCTCTTGTGGAGGTCTGAACCTCAGAATGACCCACACAGTACCACACAAGTGATGGGCTAGGAAGAGTGGTAGGATGCAGCTCGGGAACCCATCCACCTTTCCCTTCCGCAATGCCAGCTCTGTGAGCCATGAGATCTGGTCCTTGACTCCATCAAGTGCACAAGGCTTCACAGGCATGGTGCACAGAAAGTGCTTGTATTTATTTATTTTTTATTATATTTTGAGATAGGGACACCACTACATTGCCTAGCCTGACCCCAAATTGTTGGGCTCAAGTCATCCTGCTGCAGAGCCCTTGGGTAGCTGGGGTCACAGCTGAATGCCACTTGGGTCACTACACTTGCTATACTTATTTTTGTTTAGCTTCCTTTCTATAGCACTTTCATGGCTGGCAGAATTCACTTCGTGAACACAGATTCAACCGCCCCCTTGCCAGAGCATCCCTGGGAGCTCAGCGCTGCTATTTCTCCCATTTTACAGAAGGAAAAACTGAGCCATAGAGAAAATAATTGGCCTGGGAATGCTTGGCCAATGAATCACAGAGCTGGAATCTAAACCGAGACCATCTGTTTGTTTCCAGGGGCCTTTGGGAGAACCCAACCCTAGGCTGTGGGTGCAGCAGGTCAGTCAGGCATGAAGCATGAGCTCAGCATGTGAGAGACCATGGACTCTCAGAGCAGTCAGAAGTCTCAAGGGGGGCAGCCTGCACTAAATCCAGCTCCAGATGCTTTGCCTGCACCGGGCTTCATCCATCGTGGTTTGTGTTTCATTGCCATGCATCAAAATTGAGGTGATTTTGCATATACAAACACCTGTATCCCCAGCTGTTGGGCAGGACTGCTGGGCCCAGGAGTTTGGAGCCGGCCTGACAACATAGGGACACTGTGTCTCTTTAAAACAAATCATTTTGGGCTGTGGAGGGGTGGTGCATTCCTTGAGTCCCAGCACTAGGGAATTAGATGCAAGGGGACCTCTGAGTTAGAGGCTAGCCTGGTCTACAGAGCGAGTTCCAGGACAGCCAGGGCTACACAGAGAAACCCTGTCTCAAAAAACCAAAATAATAATAATATTTCAATCCGGGCATGGTGTTGAACACCTTTGAGCCCAGCACTCAGAGGGCAGAGGAAGGTAAATCTCTGTGAGTGGAGGCCATCCTGGTGATGCAGTGAATTTCAGGCCAGCTAGGACTACATAGGAAGACTGTCTCAAATAATTTGCGCAGACACAATGGTACACACTTGTAATCCCAGCATACAGGAGGCAGAGGATCAGGAGTTCAAGTCCAGCCTTGGCTACGTAAGATCCTAGATCAGCAGAGTTCAAACTGCTCTTGCAGAAGACCAGAGTCTAGTTCCCATCCCCCACATCAGACAGCTCACAACCACCTTGCACTCCAGCCCCAGAGGATCTGATACCTTCTTCTGGACACTGCACTCCTGTATGCACACACACACACACACACACACACACACACACACACACACACACACAATCTAAAAGAAATAAATAAACCTATGATTACAGCACTGAAAAGACTGAGGCAGGAGCATTGGCCACAGTTTAATCAGATCCTATCTCCAAGAACAAAACAAAACAGGAGGGCCAGCAAGTTGGTTCAACAGGTAAAGGCAATTGCTGCAAAAGAGATCCGATCTGAGTTGGATCTCCAGAACCTATATGGTAGAAGGAGAGAGCCAACTCATATAAGTTGTCCTCTGACCTCTATACACATTGTGGTGCCCCCACACACATTGATTGAATGAATGAATGAGTGAATGAATGAATGAATGAATGTTGGGGGGAAAAAAGGAAACTTGGATTCTCTTGAAAGCTGTCAGAATAGGCCGTCTGCTAGCCCATCACCTACCTGTCCACAACTATCTGGCACTGAAGAGCATGAACCCCCCAGAGATATCACAGTTACTCCCTAGCTTGTCAATGTCTCCATGTCACCAGCTGGTCCTGTAGGAGGCTGAGCTGGGAACCCAGACCCAGGCCAGAGGCGGGAGCTGGGAGAAGCAGAGGGCACACAGAAGCAGAGAAGCTGTTGGGCACACAAGGCACCAAAACCATTGGCGCTTAGGAGGCCCTTCAAGGAAAGCCAGACAGAAGTTCCTTCCATGAGCCAAATACTGGCCGGCGTTCCAATGGGACCAACTCATTTCAGGAATGAAAAATCGATGTTCAGGCAGAGCTCCTAGGGACGTGCGCAGGGTGATGGCCAGGTTTTGGGCTTTTGGTCCGCGGTTGTTAACTCACAGCGGTGAACGTGGTTTGTAAAAAGCCACTGGGAGTACATTACTCAGCAGCTCTCAATAGTGACATCAAATCGATCCGGGGCTTTGAACAAAACCTCCTGACCCTGCCAGAGGAGCTCCTGTCCTATCTGTCAGGTCATCAAGAGTAGTCACAATGCTGAGGGAGGCATTGCACATGCTGGGCCATCTGGCCGGCTCTCGAAGGCCACTTGGCACCAGCTCTGCAGAGGATCGAGGATCATCTTGACCAGCTCACAGGACTCAGAGCACCATTCGCCATTATAATCCTGAAAAGACAAACAGGGCTGTTAGGTGGTGAGTGGTCCCTTTCCCAGCCACATCACTTTCTCCTAGGCACCCCCTCTCCAGTGTGTCCACATGTCCAGCAATGTACCAGTGGTCACACCATAGAACCTAATCAGAGTACCCTGCCTCTCAGGAACCTGCGTCCTGCCTACCTGCCTTCCTCTTGCCTGCTTGCAAATCCCAGATCCCATCCTGGGCTGTATGTCCTGATCTGCACAGCCAGACTAAACAGAACACCAGTTCCCCCTAAGACTGCTGTGAGGGTCCTGTGGAGATGATTCATGGGAAGCACTGAGCAGGGTCTCTGGCACCGTCCACCCCTGGGCATGTGGAAATGCTCCTCCTACCCATATGCCAGTGTGCCCAGGGCCTTCCCACTTCTGAGCCTTAACTCATGCTGTTTCTTCCCTACCCAAAGCATGTTGCCCACTGGCCTCCTGCAGCCTGGGACTCAGCCAAAGTTGGAGCTCCAAGCAGGAAGCACCCAGGAGGCAGGTTCCCTAGCAGTGCCCTGCATGCAGTCAGCGCAAAGGAGCATGGGAAACCATTGCCGGATGTGGTCTTGGGGAGGTAAGTCCCTAAGCCCTACTTCCTCCTCT